AGCTTCTACTTCCTCGATCGTTGTTTTGATGTTTTCATTTTCTTCTGGTTCTTGAATAGTATCAGGTCTCGAGTCTACATCTGTTTGCCCATCTAAGTTGAGGCTTGTGTTGTTGAATCCTCAACTAACTTCTGTAATTGCTATTTCGCGTGGCTTTTTGCGCTTGTGTCTGCCATTGAGTTAATGCTTCGAGAAGCCTGTTGGTCACCACGGATTTGCCGTATTCCTCATTGTGAAGGAAACTTGATAACTTGATGTAATGTAGACGGAACAACATCCATTTCGTGAATCCATGGCCTGCCGAGAATCATATTGTGAGCCATGTCCATTTCTATCACTTGAAAAACTTGGTGTCTTTGACTACTCCTTCTGCAAATGTGGTGAGTATTATCTCCCCTTTTGTTACGACGCTTGAGTTGTCAAAACCAGACAAGGTGCGTGCCTTGGGTATCAACTTCTCATCGGCTTGCATCTCGTTTACCACTCTCATCAGAATGATATTCACAGAACTACCTGGATCAATCAAAATTCGTTTTACATTAGTGTCATGTACAAGTAAAGATATTACCAGTGCATCAGCAAGCCATCTGCATCTGCATCATCAAATGTTATACTGTCTTCTTCCACAACTTTACGAACTCACTTCCCTTGGGTGATTGTGATTTTTGACACCTTCTTTACTATCGTGTATGTTACGCCATTGATCTCCTCCCCCCCATTTATGACATTAACCGTTCTTTTTGGTGATGGAGGTTTCGGCGGTTCTTGCCTATTTTTCATATATGCCTATTTTCCTTTTTTACTAAACAATTCTGTTAAGTACCCTTGCTTTAGTAGATGTTCAACTTCACCTTGTAGTAATCTGCAATCGGCCGTTTTGTGACTGTTATCGTTGCGAAACTCGCACCAAAATTTGGGATTCCTCATGTTTGGGTTCGCTCTCATTTCTTTTGGCCACCATACCTTGTCTCCCATGCTTCTTAGAACAGCTACCAGCTCGGATGTGCTTACATTAAAGTTATAACCACCAATTTTGGCCTTTGAACCTCTGTCGTCGTCTCGCGTGTCTCTTAAGTTTCGCTCTTTTTCGAACCTCGATGACGAACCTGATTCTCTATCCCTTGATCTAGGATCATACCTTGGGTTTTCCTGTTTCGAACGCGAATATCTTCCTGCTGGTCCCATATAAGGCTCGTATCTATTTTTACCGGACCTTTTTTCGGTCTCTGTCCTTCTTGAACTTACTCTTTCATTTTTCTGAGACTATGTGAAAATGTCTTCTTCTATCCGCAGCTTTATGCTGTACCTGTTGTAAACATCATTCCAAGTTGTTGCAGGAAATTCTCGTAAGCTTTCTTTGAGTCTCCTCGTGGCTTCCAAGCTTTTTTCATTTAGATTACTAGCAAAGGCCATAGCCGCCCAGTTATCAGGTACACGTGGCAACATCATCCTTTCACGCTGGAATCTGTCTACGAATTCCCTGAGCAACTCCGTATCTCCTTGCTTTATTTTGAAAATGTCCTCCATTCTTTTTTCAACTTTTTGAGCTCCCGAGTGTGCTTTGATAAACAAATCTGCAAGCTCAGCAAAAGAATTAATAGAATTTTCAGGTAAAAGAGAATACCATGTTAGTACTCCCTTCGTGAGCGTTTCTCCAAATTTTTTGACCAACACTGATTCAATTTCTTGCTTGGTCAAATCGTTGCCCTTTACACTAGTTGTAAATGCAGTTACGAGATCCCGGGGATCAGTTGTTCCATCATACTTCGGGATATCGGGCATCTTGAATTTCTTTGGAATTGGTAAAGGAGCGGCACTTGGATTCCAAGGTTGTTGAGAGTATTTCTCCATATCTATCCCCTTGATTACGGGCGGACTCCAGGCATCTGCTCTATGCGATCACTTTGCTCCTTGAGCTGTTTCTGCAAAGTTAGTACTAAATTTTGTAAATCAGAATTAACTGGGTTACCTGACCCTCCATCACGAGATTCATTGGGAATTCCACCGCTGCCTGAATTAACGCGTCCAAAGCGAAGATTTTCTATGGTTACATTGTTGTTTGGAGGTGGTGTCGGTGGTATATTCGGCAACTGGCTAGCAAAAGCCTGAAGAGCATTGCTGACCTGTTGAGCGATTGATTTTTTCAAAGCTTCATCAATAGCCTGATCATTCTCAAACTGCTCGTTCATATTTGATTCAGACCCGCCAGGAGTCCCCTCTCGAGATTGTCGAGGCGTGTTTTGTTGTGAGGGGGCTGGAGTTCCATCACCTTGTTGATGCAACTGATGTTGCTGATTTTCTTGGTGCTGTGGATTTTGTTGGTTGTTGTCGTTGACGTTCGACATGATTGTTTTGATAGAAGAATTGATTTAAAAAGTAAAAGATTATCAGATTCCCGGTAACGGAACCAATTTGTTTAACCAAAAAATAGGAATTTCGGTCAAAGCGTAATTTTAGAAGAACTCAGGTTACTGATAATCAAATAAAGAGATAATTATATAACAAGAGAGGAAAATTGGACTGAAAAGTAGCCGAGTAAGCAATGTAAAACAATGTAAATAAGTATATTCCAATAATCATCAGTGTCCCCATACAAATGTTACTTCTCTCGCTTTTATAGCTATTTCCAAGTACAACGTTTCTTTCCTTTCATAATAGAGCCATTATGAGCATTTAATGACATTAATAAAATGTTATAATTAACAATCGTAACTGTTTCGTGAAGATTCTATAACGTTTCCTATCATTTACACTCATTAATTGGAGATATTACGAATATGTACTTTTTATTGTCTTGGTTCATTCCACCGGCATCTCTTCAAATTATCAAGAGGACCGAGTGACCGTTCCTTCTTGTCTTTATGATACTTCGCTCGTACCTGTTAAGACTCGTATCTCTTTGAGCACTCTTTGCCAGCTGTCACTCTTCTAATAATCCACGTGTCTTGACACGTCAGCCACATAATTAATTCCAAGTGTAATATCGATTTTTTCCCAATACATAATTTAGTCAATATACCTTTTTTTCTCCGAGAGTTAGTACTTTTTTAAGGGATATGCCAAAAGCAAAAAAGGCAATTATTATGGACGAGATGGAGTAATACTTAAAAGTAGACTCTTTACTTCTCATACAAGTTGTACATTGATTTGCAAGTTTAACAAGGGAACCTGCTTTTTGGAAACGAATCGCCAATGGACTGATCACATTATGGGCGAAAGGATAGATGCCTTCTTAGCCTAAAGTGAAATAGAATTAATTTGCATGCTTTATTCTCCTCGAAACTTATCAGAATCATATTCTTTATTTTTTCCTTTAAGTTTTGGACAAGCGATTCACTATTTGTATTCAAAAACTCTTTGGTTGACTCTTTAATTGAATATTAGGCTATTAGGAAATTGCAGATAAATTAAGTGAATTCTCTGCACTAGCTAGTAGTTGTGTGTTGAAGGATTGTAGAGCAACAATGGGTATGTCAATATCCAAGTTTGTAAAAATGCTATTTGCTAAGAAAGAAATGAGAATATTAATGGTGGGACTCGATGCAGCTGGTAAAACAACCATCTTGTACAAGTTAAAACTTGGGGAGATTGTCACCACCATTCCTACAATTGGTATTTGCTATCTCCACTCTTTCTACTGTTGATTACTACAATATAAAAATTCTTTATATTGTTAATATATAGAGTATAACTTAATCTTTTAATATATTAATCCCTAGGATTTAACGTGGAGACGGTGGAATACAAGAATTCGAGCTTCACGGTATGGGATGTAGGTGGACAAGATAAGGTATTTAACACTGGAAGAATCCCAATCAAAGCTAATTATGAGTTATCTAATTTGTTGTACTAATTTTACAGATCCGGCCTCTATGGAGGCACTACTTTCAGAACACTCAGGGTCTAATCTTTGTGGTAGATAGTAATGATAGAGATAGAATTACAGAAGCGAGAGATGAGCTCCATCGCATGCTTAATGAGGTAATATTACAACTAATAATATAAAAATTAAAAGTATCAATTGACGTTAACTGAAATTAAATGATGGTTTAAGCAGGAAGAATTACGAGGCGCTACCGTTCTTGTGTTTGCCAATAAACAAGACCTTCCAAATGCTATGAGTGTTGCAGAAATTACTGATAAACTTGGTCTGCATTCGCTCCGTCAACGACGCTGGTAAAACATATTTCATAGCCGTAACTATCTTTTCTATTTCTCTCAAATGTTTCACTTAATTAACACTTCACCAGTTAGAGCACTAAAGATTAAACTGGGAAATAAAAGTAAATGTCAAATATTTTAAAAACAGTTTCCAACTAATTAAGTAGCTAAGGAATCTGCGTGTACGTGTTGTCTACGTCTTTTAGGTACATCCAGAGTGCTTGTGCAACATCTGGGCAGGGGCTTTATGAAGGTCTTGATTGGTTATCAAATAATATTTCTGGCAAGGCAAGAACATTTTGGCCTTTTAATTACAGTATCTCTTTTCCTTCATCTTTTTCAACCAAAAAAGAAAAGTTTACTAACTGTAATTTTACTTGCAGGCTTAAATTCGGAGCTACATCCAGCGCAAGCAGTTCCAAGTCTTTAAATCAAAACGCGTTGGTTAAAATTAATATGCTATGGCTGTACATTATTGTTTACCCTAAAATCCGAGTAACAATTAAACTTGTATTGTGGTTTTAGAGATATGTGATTTAATCCAATACTAATTGATAAACAAAGAATCAAATGTATAAATTAAAGAGTAAAGTAGGTCAAACCAGTGTGCAACCAAGTCCCGACCTCGAGCTATGGCAGCCTCGAGGTAGGTTAGTCAAAACAATAAAATAATAAGGCAATTCAGATGAAAAGTAAGCAAGAAAGTGGTGTATGTATATTATCTTGTCAATGATTGATGATGTTACAAATGAATGGGCTCCCCTTTATATAATAGGGGAGTCCTAAATAAGGTACATTTCCATTTTTAGTAGGGAATCTTATTGGAGAGCTGTCTCACCGCCTAGTACAAATCCGTTCCGGAATTTACGCCGTGATCTTAGGGCCACTGCGGGAATCTTGCTCTTTCTGTTATAAAACCATAACGGTATTATCTCGAGGTTGGTCATACTTGGCCTCGGTGTTCATCGAACACTTCGATCTTCGAGTCTTGTATTCCGCCATCAGGCTCGAGCCCGGTCCATTTTGAACTTATTCTCGAAGTGACCCCTCGAGCCTACGAAATCCGGCACACCTGATTTCGACCGTATACAGATAGTCCCCGCGTTTCTTAGAATAAAATGATAAGAAACGACTTGAGCCTCGATTTTTCGGAATCCTTGATGATGATGTTATTCCCGTGACGTAGGCGCTCGAAGTGACCGAAACATCCTGTCGGTTCGCTTCCCCAAAATATTAAATGCTTCGCCAGTGGTGGTCGACCACTAGCGCCGTCGAACCGTCGCCGCTTGCCTATAAAGACAAGACTCAAATTCGAATAAAAAACTTTACTTCCATCTTCAAACCACCTTCAAACTTCCCATATCTCTCCCCCTCTTCATCTTTCTCTCTCATTACCTGTTATTCTCGCCCTTTTAGTGCCGAAAGATATCAAGCTCCGCCTATTTCCGCTTTTTCTAACCGAAATCAATGGCGAAAACCTCCAAAATAGTTCCTCAAAAGGAGAAAGCTTCCTCCTCCTCTTCCCGGCCGGCCGGTGATAAAGCGCTGGCCTTTTAAGAGATTATTCCCGGCCCCTGTGTCATAAAGAAAGACTTCAAAGTTAAAAATCCACCCGCAATTCCTGGGCGAGCATATATCGAGGTATATTTGCTCGATAACGGAGAAGCACCTCAAGGCCATGAAGAAGGACTGTGGCTGGGGGAACGAGGTCGTGGTACAGATCCCCGCCCCCGAGGAGAGTATCACTACTCATGTGGAAGGGTTCCTAAGTGTTTACACTTACCCCTTCACGTTTGGTCCCATCGATCCAATTGTGATCGACTTCTGCAAGAGGTATCAGGTCACCCTCGGCCAGATCCATCCTTCTTTCTGGCGTATAGTAATCATGCTTCTCCATTTCTCCAGCAAGGACGGGGGGCTAGAGTTCACCCTCAATCACCTTACCCGATTGTATCGTCCTCAGCTTTTTCGAGGGTTGATCAAGCTCCAACGCCGGTCGACCAAGGCTTTTTTTGCTAGCAATGACGAGTATAAGGACCAGGGCTGGATGAGCCGGTTCGTGCGAGTGAGGACCTGTGACATCATCCCAGAGGAGAAAATACCGTTTCCAGAGAAGTGGAACCCCGATCGTAAGTGAAGTTTTTTCCAGTAGCTTTTTGTATTCTGTTTTCGCATTGCGTGATGCCTTCACCTTTTTTGCAACGGTTGCTTGGATGCCCCATGCAGTCGTCGACCTCGAAGATTGGGTCCGTAAACTAGTTGCGACCTCCTCGTATGACGAGCGCCGATGGCGTGACTTGGCAAGGGGCAAATGGGAAGCCAAACACCACGGTAAGTTCTTCTCACAGGTATTTGATGCTTTCCCCTTTACTGGTTACTTTACTCATACCTAATTATCATTCATCTAGGCATTGGAGATATCTCTGAAATGAGGCCAGTCCCGCCCGGGGAAGATACCGAGTCCCCGATTCCGAAATCAGGGAAAGATAATAAGAGAAAAAGGGTTTCGAGCCCGAAGACTCAGTCCACCAGCAGAATGATGAAGAAGAAGACGAGGGCGAAGAATCAGCGCTGGTGACCCAAGCCAGGAAACCAGCCGAAGATGCCAAGCCCTCCGAACCGGAGACCCTGCCTCGTGGTGAGGAGGCTCCGAAGAAAGACGCGGTCAAGGCCCGTGAATCACCCGAGGTTGAGATCGTTCCTCGACCATCAACAAGCACACCAAAGGGGACAGGTTCCGAAAAACCCAAAGCTGAACAAAGCGCCCTGAGTGATTTTCTCGGGGCCATGACAATAGGTCACTCTCCTCCTCTACCGACTTATTCTCAGGAGTGCATAAGGGAGGCTCGAGCGCTGCACATGCCTGACTTAAGCGGAGTCCCTAGTGAAGAATATCCTTTTCGAGATTGCTTTATCGGGGTCGATGATGTCGCCGATCTCAACGACGCAGCTACTCTTTTCGAAGAGGCTCAACGCCTTTTCTCTCAAGTAAGCATTGATTCCTATCGTTGCAATTTCATTCTTCTTCTTCACTTTTTTCCCTAACTGATTTCCTTTTTCTTGTGTAGGCTTTCACCAGGTTCAGGGCCGACCTGAGCCAATGTGAAGTCGAGCTCCAGAAGACCTCGGATGAAGGGAAGGCCCTGAAGCTCCTTTGCAGTCAAAAGAAGGAGGAGCTCGAGGACCTTAGGGCAGACCAGGCCAAGGCTCGTAAAAATGAGGCCGAGCTAGACAAGCAGGTAACTGTCATTTTGAAAAAGTATGGTCTACTCGATCCAACTGTAGAGGCTAATACTTCAATGTCTCAGCTGCAGCAAAAACTGGATAGGATCGAGTTGATTTGAGGGGAGGTCGATCAGGTCAAGGCCGACTGCAACTGGTGGAAGGAGAATATGGACCGCCAGACTGTGGAGAAGGAGGCCGCTTTAGCCAAACTGGCATCGGCTTAGGCCCAACTCCGAGGTGCTAGAGAGAAAAGTTTGTCCCAGGCCAAAAGGATCGACGAACTCGAGGTCAAGCTTGCAGAGGCCAGGGCTGAGGTCGAGAAGACGAAGGTCATGGCTAATAAAACCATTGCCGTGTACTTAAGGGATGCTGAGGCTGCTCAAACGGAGCTAAGGGAAGCCTCTGACCGGGAGAAACAGAGTAATGATTTGGCCAAGTGCCAATCCCGGAGGGAGACCCTTGAAGAAATCCACGCTCGAGGTTTCGACCTCACTGAAGAGATAGCTCAAGCAAAGGCGCTCGAAGCTGATGCCAGATTTCTTGTCTCCTCCTCCGACGACGATGAAGGCAGCCAAGGCGGATCTGACAATGAAGAGGGGACCGAAGAGGAAGTTGCTCCCGAGGGAGAAACCAGCCCCGGGCATATAGGATTTTTCTTTCTCTTTTTGTATTTTTCTTTTTTTAAGACCTCTTGTCGGTTTCTTGTACATATCTTTTTTCAAGTATATAAAAGAAAATTATCCTTGAATGTCTTCTCGGTGTTTCTTGCCTTACAAAATTCTTGCAATAATTTCATTCATTGAATGGTCTGTTCTGGATTTTATCTCGGATGGCTTCCTTGAAGTTATCGTGGTCGAGTTCGAATAAGGTTCGAACTTTGGGGCATAGACCCTTAAGGGTTTGTAACGGATAATGGTGAGTCCCCGAGCCATAATCAGGTTACTGTGTATTTAGGCTCGGGATAATCGAACCCTTGGATTCAGATGGAGTGAGAACAGGATCTCAAACCCTAAGTGTATTGGCCCTTAGGCTCTTTTAGATCGGGTCGAATGGCCTCTAAGAGATGGCTATTATTTGCCCTTTACGTCTTAAAAAATTTCTTTATGCCTTGGCATGCATTTTTTACCCATTGGGTTTTTTGAGGGATTAGTGTCGATCAAAACCCTTTTGTTTTTGTGCCTTAGCACAAGTTTGCATTTGAATAATTCGATACCTCTTAATGTTTTTCGAGGGCAGGTTTTATCGAAGCACTTTGATTATTCTGCCGAGGGTAGCCTTTATTAATCGGTTTTCCGAGAATTCGAAGGCCTATTTTTATTGAGGGATTCGGACGTCTCCGAGCCGCGTTATTTCGGCCATAGCCTTTAGTATGGTTGTAACCTTCGGGTATGCCTCTTGGACTTATTACCCGGTAATATTTTGAACTTGTTCGGAACGTCAGTCCCCGAGTGCGATGGCCTTGGCCTTTACGTCGGGGGGTGCCTCTTTGAGGTCTTATGAATCCGAGTTTAGATGACTCGGATTTGTTCACTGTCGATGACAGTCCCCGAGTATTTGAGGTGTACTCGCGTTTTGTCCCTTGAGACATTTCTCACAGAATCACAAGTATGGAGCTCGTATAGTAGCAAATTTCTTTGAGACACAAAGTGTTTGATATAGAAAGAACGCTTATTTGAATAATCCGTACATGCGTACATGTTATGCTATCGGGACTCGACTATTCTATACGGACACGGTTCATCCGACCGTTTGGCCCATTACAAGGTTTTCCTATCGAGACCCTTTTTGGCGTGAAGTATTTTTCTTGAAAATATAAACTCCGAGGGTGATGCCCCCCAGTATTCGAGGTTGATTGAAAAGAAGCCTTGGATACTGTTGAATTTTCCTTAGGTAGCACATAGTTTTTGCCTTGTTAAAAACCTCGCCGGAAAAACCCATTTGGGATAAAACCCGATCTAAGGGAAAAAGAGTACAATGCGTGCTTTAAAACCTAAGGTCTTCGTGTAGAAGGGTTCTCTCGACGTCTTCGATCGAACACCTGCAATAAGTTAGTATCAAATACAAATGGATAAAAGGGAGAAAGTCATACCTCACCAATAATATCGTTTGAGTATGATACATTCCAATTGTTTGGCAATTGTTCGCCTTCCATCGTGCCAAGTTTGTAAGATCCCTTTCCAATGACTCTGATGACTTGATATGGTCCTTCCCAATTCGGGCCTAGTTTCCTTTCATTCGAGTCTTGAGTATTGAGGGTGACTTTCCTTAGAACTAAGTCCCCGATTCCGAAGTGGCGAAAGTTGGTTCTTCTATTATAATATCTCTGGATTCTTTGCTTTTGTGCAGCCATCCGAGCAAGTGCAGCTTCTCGTTTTCATCTAATAGTTCGAGGCTAGTTTCCACAGCCTCGTGATTTGATTCCTCCGATGCATGTCAAAATCTGGTGTTGGGTTCCTCGACCTCGACTGGAATTAAGGCCTCCGAGCCATAGACTAAAGAGAACAGGGTTGCCCCCGTGCTGGACTTCGATGTCGTTCGATATGCCGAAAGAACCTCGGGTAGAACTTCTCTCCATTTCCCTTGAGCATCGTTCAACCTTTTCTTTAAGTTTTGAATGATAGTCTTGTTTGTCGATTCGGCCTATCCGTTTCCGCTCGGGTGATACGGCGTTGATAAGATCCTTTTTATTTTATGTGCATCGAGGAACTCCATTACCTTGTTTCCGATGAATTGCTTCCCGTTGCCGCATACGATTTCGGAAGGTATCCCGAATCGACACACGATGTGGTCCCAGATGAAGTCTATAACCTCTTTTTCTCTAACCTTCTCGAAGTCATGTGCTTCCACCCATTTAGAAAAGTAGTCAGTCATAACAAAATGAATTTAGCTTTACCTGGGGCCGTCTGTAGAGGGACGACGATGTCCATTCCCCATTTCATGAATAGCCATGGGGATAGGACTGAATGAAGTTGCTCTCCGGGCTGATGAATCATCGGTGCAAACATTTGACATTTATCACATTTTCGAACAAACTCCTTAGTGTCTTTTTCCATGTTATCCCAGTAATACCCTTCTCTAATAATTTTGTGAATCAAAGACTCGGTGCCGGAATGGTTTCCATAAGTGCCTTCGTGGATCTCTCGTAAAACATAATCGGTGTCTCCTGTCCCTAAACATACCGCCAATGGTCCATCGAACGTCCTTCTGTATAATTTTCCATCTTCATCCAATGTGAACGGAGCAGCCTTGGTTCGTAGAGCCCTCGACTCTTTATGGTCCGATGGGAGCTTTCCATTTTTCAAGTATTCAATATATTTATTCCTCCAATCCCAAGTCAAACTTGTAGAATTTATATCGGCATGACCCTCCCCCATCACAGATCTCGATAATTGGACGACAGTCCCCAGGATAATATCATCATCCTCGACTGATGATCCCAAGTTTTCAAGTGCATCGGCCTCACTGTTTTGTTCTCGAGGTACATGGTCTAGAGTCCACTCCTTGAAGTGGTGTAAAGTTACCTGTAGCTTTTGTCTAAATACCTTTGCATCCTATCCTCTCGAACTTCGAAGCTTTTGTTTACTTGGTTCACCACCAATAAAGAATCGCACTTGGCTTCAATGACTTCTGCCCCCAAGCTTTTAGCTAGCTGGAGACCTGCAATCATGGCCTTATACTCGGCCTCATTGTTAGTCAACCTAGAAGTTTTGATACATTGTGTAATAGTGTTACCCGTGGGTGGCTTCAAAACAATGCCAAGTCCGAACCCTTTTCACATTCGAGCCACCGTCTGTGAAGAGGGTCCATACCCCCGATGATTTACCCGATTTTAGTAGAAGTTCTCTTTCCACTTTGGGTACGAGGGTTGGCATAAAATCAGCCATGAAGTCTGCTAAAATTTGAGACTTGATGGCCGTTTGGGGTTGATATTCGATATCGTACCCGCCAAGTTCGACGGCCCATTTGGCCAACCGGACCGATAACTTGGGCTTGTGCAAAACATTTCGAAGAGGATAAGTGGTTAGCACACACTGGAAATATGGCTTTAACTTTATAGATGAGCTTATTAATGCGAGTGCCAATTTCTCTAAGTGTGGATACCTAGTTTCAGCATCTCCTAAGGTCCGACTTACGTAATAAACAGGAAACTGCGTACCTTGCTCTTCTCGAACTAGTACACCACTTAGCGCTATTTCGGACACTGCCAAGTATAAGTACAGCTTCTCTTCTGCCTTCGGTGTATGGAGCAGAGGTGGGCTCGATAAGTATCGCTTCAATTCCTCCAATGCTTGCTGATATTCCGGGGTCCATGCGAAATCATTTTTCTTTTTGAGTAAGGAAAAGAACCTGTGGCTTCGATCTGATGACCTTGAATGAATCGGCCCAAGGCAGGTATCTGTCCGGTTAGCCTCTATACGGCTTTCACACTATTTACGATGGTGATATCCTCGATGGCCATAATCTTATTGGGGTTGATTTCGATTCTCCAATTTGATACCATAAAGCCGAGGAATTTGCCCGAGCCAACCCCGAAGGCGCATTTTTCGGGGTTAAGTTTCATGTTGTACTTCCTCAAGATTTCGAATGTTTCCTGCAAATGAGTCAAATGGTCCTCTGCGCGCAGAGACTTAACTAGCATATCGTCAATGTAAACTTCCATTGATTTACCTATTTGTTCCTCGAACATTTTGTTAACTAGGCGTTGGTATGTAGCTCCTGCTTTTTTTTAGCCCGAAGGGCATTACATTGTAACAATAAGTTCCATACTTGGTGATAAACGAGGTCTTTCGGGTTCATCTCAATTTGATTGTACCCGAAATAGGAATCGAGAAAGGTAAGGATCTCGTGGCCAGCCGTGGCATCGATTACGCGATCAATGTTAGGAAGTGGAAAAGAGTCTTTAGGGCATGCCTTGTTTAAATTCTCATAATCTACGCACATTCTAAGTTTGTTCCCTTTTTTAGGACTACAACTACGTTGGCTAACCATTCGGGGTATTTTACCTCCCGAATGGACCCTGTTTTAAGGAGTTTAGTTACCTCATCCTTTATGAATGCATGCTTCGCCTCGGACTGGGGCCTTCTCTTTTGCTTCACCGGTATGAATCTGGGGTCGAGGCTTAGCCGGTGTGTTGTTATTTCCGATGGGATCCCTGTCATGTCTAAATGGTGTTGATACCCAATTTTTCCCTCAAATATTTTAAAAATACATATATACTTTAAAAAGAGTGCATGAGTATCAACCAGCACTTTTCCATAATTTTCTTTAATTTTAAAAGAATTTTTACTAATTTGTTCTAGCATTTTATTATCCAAATAATTACTAATTACATCACAAACGGTTTTATGATACTTTCATTTGCTTAATTTTGTTATTTATATTTATACTGAGCTTTGATTATTTTACAAATAGTCATATGTACATGTTAGGGTTATAATTGCAATAACTTTGCAATAATAGCCCATGTGTGCATAATTACCTTATTTCACAAGAAAATAACCTTTTATATTTTCATAATGCTAAGTAATTATTTTAAATCATCTTCATGCATAAAAATTATTTTTATCATTTTTTATCTATTTTTATAAATTATTTTATCAATTAATTGGGTATTTAAATAATAGCCCCTTTTCCTTAATCATTTTCGGACCTAACCCAATTACACCAGCCCAATTACTTAAAACCCTAGCCCAATCCACCTCAACCCAAACTAAATAACCCTTACCCGACCCAGAACCTCCTCTAATC